AAAGCTCATCGTTGGTGAAGCTAGTCAGGGTTGAGTCAGGTCAAGTAACAGCCCAGAGGCAGATATAGGGGCTCGCACTGGCCTAGGGAGGGGCTGTAGTTTCTAGACGTTACTCCTGCCCTGCGACGGCCACCCCCTCTCCCTGTAGGTACCACTAACTTGCTTCCAAGGAGACAGGCTTCCAAGACTGAAAATACACGAGCCAGTGGTGTTTGGCAGCAGACTTGAAGGCCTCTAGCCAGGGGCAGTGCCAGGCACAGTACTCCAGACCGTCCTCCTGAGAGCCACCATCCCCCTGCACAACTCTTACTTAGGGATCCAGACCCCCGGGCTTCGGTGCGCTTCCCGGCTTCCACCGAAGCACGGGGCTCTCGTACCGTGACTTTCTGGCTCTGGTGAGAAGCAAAGTGAAAGTCGTTTTCTGTATTTAACAAGCGTTTTGAGCCCTATTATTCCAGGCTCCCTACTAGGTCTTCACGTTGGACTGCGGTGGACAGTGGGATGTGGTGTGAACCACCAAGGTCATGTGGTGCTCATCAGGGATCCTGCTGACCAACCCTAGTGAATGGAACACTCTGGGGTGTCTACCATTCAGGACGGCCGCTAGCAATAGCTTGGGGAAGTGGCAATGTTTTAGGTAAATAACTAGCATAAAACCAGTCAAAACTGGAACAATCTAACACGCTAACAACCAACCGGCTGCTTCTGTTGAATTTGTGTCTGATGGTCTCACACAGTGTTGTCACCGTAGCGCATCCCGCAGACGTGGGGCTGGTGCGTTACAGCGATGTTGTGAGGAACCCTAAGGCAGATAGTAGAAAAGAAAAGAGGAATCACTCATGTCTCTTTCACTGTGATTGGGCAAAGGTGCATCTTTATAGGATGAGGCCACTTTTGGACTAGTTGTTTGTTTTTTTTTAAGTGAGAAAATCAGGTTAAAATTTTGTGAATAAAAATGACATTTTTAGTTAATAATATTCACTTTTTTTCTGGTCCAACCAGTTTGCACTGTACCTGGAGAAACTCCACTTTGAGCAAACCTGTAGTTTTTATTTTTATTTTTTATTATTATTATTTTTTTAAGATTTTATTTATTTGACAGAGATCACAAGTAGGCAGAAAGGCAGGCAGAGAGAGAGGAAGGGAAGCAGGCTCCCTGCTGAGCAGAGAGCCCAATGCAGGGCTTGATCCCAGGACCCTGAGATCATGACCTGAGCCGAAGGCAAAGGCTTTGACCTACTGAGCCACCCAGGCGCCCCAAACCTGTAGTTTTTAAATATTTGATGTAAATGTGAAAATATTTAATAAAGTATTGTAACTCAGCATTGTATATATAACTAGCTACTGTATGTATATATATATATACAGGGTATAGTTGTATAACTTAGAGCATATATAGAACATATGTGCTATATACACAGTATAGTAGTATAACTTTATGACTCTTGAGTGTTACTGGGAAAATGTTCCTATTTTGGTGACTACCGTACTTCGAGTGAATTTTTATAGGCTTCAGCTTTTCACGTCGAAGAGCTCCGTGCAGCGCCGGCTGGTGTAGGCGCCTGTGAACTCTCGGGTTATGAATCATCCCGTGTCTTCAGGGCCTGATGTCTCCAGAGAGAGCCAAGTGGGGTAATAGTGTAGGAAGGTTCTCAGGTGTGCATTCCATTCTTTGCAGGGCTGAACCTTTGAAAATGAAATTATTATTTTATGAATGAAATTATTATGTGTTCACAAATGAATTTGGAAATGAAAATATTCATAGATATTTTCAAATGTATTTCAAATGTTTCAAAAATATTTTCAAATGTATCTCAAAAATATTACTCATAAATATGATATTCATGAAATATATGATGAATGAAAATATTTATTCGTGACTGAAATTATTATTTATTCAAATTGAAATTTTATGTGCTTTTTAAAGACAGAACTCTTAAGCCTGAATTATATTTTGCCTGCCAGCTGGAACTGGAATTTCTTACGGTATTACAGTCCACACTTAGTGTGTGATGAAGTGTCTCCAGATCCCCCAATAGCACACTTGTATTTCAGTCCATGGGATAAATACTTCTGAGCTTTGACAATAAAGCAAAGCTTTCAGTAATTTCAGTCCAGCGATGATGAATATCAGAAATGTAATTACTAAAATTTGCAATCATTCACGGATTAAACTCATACTGAATGTTCTTCAAGAGACATGTAAAAAAATTTTTTTTAATTCAATGTTTATGGCTAAAACTTCCTAAGTTTCGAGAGAAACTCAGCTAAACTTTGAAACTCACAGTTAAAAGATTAAGAAAATGCTGTGTTCTTGGGTGCAGGTAGATGACCCTTTGGAGACCAGCAGCGTTTGTGGTTCGTGATCAAGTCATGGTGAACTGTAAGACCGTGAGTTACTAGGGCTTTGATCAGCATTAAATATCCGATAATCAAAAAAAAAAAAAAAAGGTGAGAGGGAGAGAGAATAAGAGAATGAAAGGATGGGAAAGAGAAAAGAAGAATAAAGAAGGAAGTTGGAATCTGGAGATTGCCCCAAGCGGCCTCATGGCTTCACCCCCACCCCAGCCCCTCACTCCCCCTCCCCCTTGGCTTCCTCCACCCCCTCCACCCCTCCACCTCACCCCTGCAATGCAGGGTGAGAGTTCCCGGCCCTGGACGCCCTTGCCAGCACTTAGGTCGGGCCTTTTGATGCTGCCGTTCTGTCTGTGGTGTACGTCATGGTTTTAATTTGTGCCTCCCTGTGACTGAAGAGGTTAAACACCTTCCCACGTGCTTCTCTGTCTCCCGTGGAGCTTCTTTAGTATATGTCTCTTTGAATCTTACGCTTATTGAAAAGTCCAGCCTCGACTCCCGCTCCCAAATGCCGTTACTACTCTCCCCATCCTGTACTTCGTCCGTTCTGATCCTCATTTCCTCTTCTCCGAACTCCCTGCCTACCCCGCAGCCCCTCCCCGGCCCCACACGGCTCTCCACATCACTGCCCCAGAGTGATGGGGTCCTCCTGTCGTCCTGCAGTGGCCACGGGGCACCTTCTTGCTCTGCTCCTTCCCTGTCCGTCTCATCCTGCCCCGTCCCCCAACGCCCCACTCCCTCTTCTCACCTTATTTTCACCCACACCGGCCTAACTGGTGAGCCTCCTTGCTCCTCCACACGTCTGGTCCTACAGGTATGACTTGTGCCCAGGCTGTTTCTCCCCAAATCATACAAATACTGTCCTCCTTGAGCAGACTCGTGGGGCCCTCTGTCCTTTTAAGTTCCCATAATGCAAACATCAAGTTGTATTTTCATGGTACATCGGTCTCCACCCTGGCACACAGATCTCCTGAGGACGAAACTGTATTTTGCCTTTGATCCACCTTGTGTCATGCAGAGCTTGGCACAGTGGGCCGCAGGCGGCTTCAGGGACCACAGACTGAGTGACCTGTCCCTGCCATTCTCCCTCGGGCCCCAGGCCTCAGGGGATGTATATTTAACCTGTGAAACACCTCCCCACTCCCCTGCCCTGGCCAGTCTGCAGAGGGGTTCAAGAACTCCTTGTGTGGCCTTGAACCCCAAATTCTAACAACTAAGACAACAAAGCCATGTTGAAGACTCTGTCCTACGGATACGGAGGCAGCCGCAGGCCTGCGTGGGGCTCTCCAGGGTCCTGCCTGCCTTGTTGCCCCACATCTCCCTCCTGATTTACATACCCTGGCTTCACTCTCCTCACAATCTGGGCTCCATGGCCCTTTTCTATGTTCTCTTTTTTAAAATTAAGAAATAAACAATACATAAAGCTACAAAGTATAACATCACCCCCAGTATAACTAGTCATATTACATCACCCCAGTATAATAGTCACATCACATAACACCCCAGTGTAACTATCACATCACATAACCCACCAGTATAACTAGTCACATCACATAACCCCGCAGTATAACTAGTCACATCACATAACCCTGCAGTATAACTAGTCACATCAGAAAAAGTAGATTTGATATATTTGCTTTCGATTTCTCAAACCAGCAGGAAGAATTGCCTATCGCACAGCACTGTCGTCACCTAGACTCCCGCCTCAGCCCCCGTCTTCGAAGATAATCACAGTCATGGGCTTAACATGTGTCCAGCTCACATCTTCATACTTCTATTACACACGTGCTCCCCACAGATAGTGAGTTTGTTTTGTTTCCTCTCAAACCGCTAACACTGTGCTATTCTCTAGCGAACCACTCTGCCACTTGCTTCCTCCCTTCACCAGAAGGGTAACCGGGTCTGGCGGTTCTTTGTCTCATGGGTCACTGTGAAGCAAACCTCCGATCAGCTTTTGTGGAGAAAGTATCCAAAATCATCCCCATCACAGAAGTATGGAGAGAGCTTTTCTGTAACACCCACCAGCCAGACATCGGACCTCTTAACTGATCTTGTGTTTTTTGGTTCTTGGCCTTCTGTTATATTTCCTAGGATCTACTTGATTGTACCCTCTACCTCTTCTACCACATTTTTGTTTTCTTATTTCCTAGATTCACTGTTCTTGGGTAATTTTGTTTTCATGGCATCCTATTGCTGTATGGGTACGATAAACTCAGGTCTTTAAAACATCGAGGTGTGACGGACATTCAATGAACTGCATATATTTACGGTATAATTTGATGCAGACAGATGGGAAACCATCCCACTAGCAAGATAATGAGCATCAATCCCAAATGTTTCCTCTGGCCCTTCTGTAAACTGCCCCCTTGCCCCCGCCCACACGCAAACACTTACCTTACACAGTAGTCTGTGCTCTCTTCTGTCTAGCTTCTTTTGGCCGGCATGGCGCTCCGAGATGCTGTCACTTTGTTACTGCTGCTGAGTGTCCCTCTCACGGTGTGTTCCACTGTATGGACACAAGCAGCAAACGGTTAGTCATTCACCTGCTAAAGGACAGCAGGATTGTTTCTGGTTTGGGGCTGTTGCAAATAAAGCTGCTATGAACATTCATGTAAAAGTCTTTAATTAGATACATGCTTTCGCTCCTCCTGGGTAACTAATTACCTAGGATTGACATACTTGGGTCACCGCGGCGCTTCCCGCTGGCAGGGTGCATGTCTCAGAGCCTCTGCGTCCTCGCCAAGCCTCTGTTGGTCGTTTTCTTCAATGGAAGTTATTCCGAGAGGCCGATAGCTAGCGGTGTCCCCCTGCGGTTTGATGGGCGCTTCCCTCATGACCAAACAGAGCGAGCTTCTGCCTGTGCTTACTTGCCACGTGTGTGTATTCTGTAGGGAAGGATCCGTTCAAATCTTTTGTCCGTTAAAAAGATTGTTTTAAAATTTTTATTGTTGGAATTCGAGAGTTCCTTATGTATTCGGATGCAATTTGTCCGTCTTACGAGGGGCCCATTGCTGCACATTGCGGAAGCCCGTTCTGGGGCGCATGATGCTCTGCCCACACACCTACTGATGCCCAAGCTCCTCTACTTTTTTCCTAAAATATTTCCCTTTTGCTTCGGGAGTGATGTTTCTCCAGGGGCCTAGGCTTTCCTTTCATGACGTAGACTTCACTAGCTGGTGGTCCTTGGTCGTCAGTCCCATATTTGAAAAGGCTCCAGGAAAGCTGGGTAGAAACCTGTACCTGAGGAGACCCTGCCTGCCCGGGGCCCTGGTGCGACATGAGGCAGAAGGGGACCAGCTCCTACACCGGTGGCTCCCCAGGAACCCAAGGTGGGGAATGTTTCTTTCTGGGATGCCAACTTTGGTTCTTCTCAAATAGCTCATTTTTATTTATGAAAGGACCCGGCTCCCACTGTGTGTTTCCCAGAAGTGGGTGTGTACATAGCTTCTGGGTTTTCTGGGCTGTTGGTGGGGTGCTTGAGTGGAGGGGGCGCTGTTGTCTGCTCTGAGGAAGTCCAGTTGGCTTGCACCTTGCTGTGTGTGGCCCCTCCCTCTTCCATCAGCCCTGGCATTAGGACCTGCCATTTCCCCAGGGCAGACTGTGGGCCACTGTCGCCACAGCCCCCTCCCCGCCTGATCAGCGCCAGCCCTGTGCCCTTCAGTTCCCTCACAGTGATTCCAGCCGGTCGGGATCAGGAGGGGGAGTTCATCATAATGAATTGGGGACTTTTAAGTGTACTTCTAAAAAACATAAAAATCATTCCTAATGTGGCTTTTTTTTTTTTAAAGAAAATACCTTTCTAAATCACTGTAGAAAATGTAAAAAAGAAAGGAAGTTGCAAACAAATAATAAAAACAGAAAATATGATAAACGGCATCTCAGTATAGCAGTTAGAGAATTTGAGCCAACATATTCAATGGCAAAGTCTGCTTATCGTGTTGTTAAAGATAACCACACAAATGACATCTGAAGGCTTGGAAGGGCCAGGAAATGCTGGATGAATTTGCCAATAAGAGCAGCAGAGTGGTAGTTCCCACATGAGAGCTGGATCCCAGGCAAGCAGCATTCAGCAGGAAGATCACCTTACGCTGTTAGCAGGGAGAGAGAAAGTTTTGCAGAATGCCCGCATCAAAACACAAAGCACTGGGTGTTTCACACAACTGAGGAATTAGTGAACACTACTGCTGAAACTAATGATGTACTCTATGTAGGCTAATTGGATTTAAATAAAAAAAAAACACAAAGCAAAAAAAAAAAAAACTCTTAGAAATACAAGGAAAATCTGACACGGAAGAAAAATAAGGTTGCAGAGAATTTTAACAATATGATCAATATTCCTGAATAAACAAACTACAGAACAAACAGCATCAACTACAGAGAACGGCCTTATTCTCACTATAAAAGGCTCGAGGCTGCAAAAGGAGAGACTTCATAGCAAACAATCTCCACCACATCCACAAGTGTGAAAAAGAAAAAAGCCTTTCAATGAAATCTCCCAAATGACTGAAAAGGAAAAAAAAAAGCACCATTTCCAATAAACATTTCCTAGAAACACTGAGATCCACGTAAACCTAGGAAGTACAGCAGGAGACCATTGAGGATCCTAACTCTAGGAAAATGTGGTTGGTGTCACTTCGCAACACACAGGCTTAAAGGCTGAAAACAGCGCTGGGAAAGCAGCTGAACGAGGCACTCACCTAAGCAGTCACGAGCCCAATGACAAGATCTCCTCCTAGAACAGTGAACACAAGAGAAAAGCAGATACGAAGTTAGAAGATACAGGGGAAATCACCATAACACAAATTAGGTTAGAGTAAAACAAGATAAACGGAGACTGACTAATGAAGAAAACCACCCACCAGATCAGTGTCCAAGTGGACATGTTCCCAGGTCCTGCCCCCTCGCACCTGCTGGCAAGCCCTCCTCCTCATTTCTGATCTACGGAGTACCTGTGCAAATCTCAAAAGAAAGCCCACAGATTTTTTTAAGCAAAGAAATGATCCCATTGGCTAAAGGAGAAAACAGACCAATAAGTGTGCAAGAAAATAAAAGAATGCTCCAAATAGTTATCTCAAAGAAAAGCATTCCTGTTAAAATCCCACGTGAATCCTGATAATCCCTGCTTTTATTCAGTATTGTCTTCAAATGTCCTGCTACTGTAAGAAGGAGACAACAAAAGCAATAGCTTCAAATACTCCCAAACAAGAACGTGACATGTCTGCAAATGACTTGACTGCAAAGCAAGGGAACTGGGAGTAACCAAAGAAAATCGCTGGAACTCATAAAATACCTCCAGCAGCATGGCTGGATGGGGCAAATATGCAACCGTGGATAGCTCTGACTTATCCTAGTTACAGAATGTATATGGGGATGCACACGATGAACAAAACATCCAACACCTAGGAATGACCTTCCCGGAAGTGCAGGGATTCACACAGAAACTGTCTGTTGCACAGCTCTGCCAAGGCCTGGGAGTACGTGATGCTGCGAAATTGTTAACATTAGTGGAAAGCAGGTTTCAGGGCTCAAGATGCTGTTCTCGTCTGAACTTCTAGAGTGCAGCCGTGTGGATACACTGGAGTCATACTGAAGACAAAATGACTGGACTTTATATCATTTTATTAATCTACTTGTTGTAATTAACACAGTAATTGATGACAGTTTAGTAAGTTACAGTTTTTAGGAAATGGAGGGCAGGGAACCAAGATAGAACAGGGAACCTTCCTATTAATCGTGGACGCAGGGGGCCCGGCGAAACCAGGAAGGATGCATCAATCCTGAGTGAAGGCAGAGGTCCAGTGCCCCGGGGCAGCTCACACGAAGAAGGATACTCACGGAAGCTCCCCAGCTCTCAGACCAGCATCCCGCTCCCGCCCCGGGCACCTTCCGGAAGAACCTGGCGGCCCCGATCAATCCTAATGTGCTCAGCATTTTGTGGTCCTGAGGAGATCCAGAATACTTATTGCTTCATGTTTTCAAGTAATTGGAAAATGGTCAGAAAAAGGAATGGTGTTTTTTTTTTTTTTTAAATTTTATTTATTTGACAGAGAGAGATCACAAGTAGGCAGAGAGGCAGGCAGAGAGAGAGGGGAGAAAGCAGGCTCCCTGCGGAGCAGAGAGCCCAACGTGGGGCTCAATCCCAGGACCCTGGGATCATGACCTGAGCCGAAGGCAGAGGCTTTAACCCACTGAGCCACCCAGGTGCCCCGGAATGGTGTTCTTTTAATAACAAAGTTTCTCTTCAAAAATGTGCTCTTTCCAGTGAAAATGAAGCACAGTAGCATCGGGCAAGTTTTCTGTGAATTCTGAAGCCACAAGAGACTCTCAAAATCACAAACCCTGAGAACACGGCTTCTACATAAAACCTCGTGAGGACACCGACCCTGGTTGGGAAGGCCAGCCAGGAGAGGGTGCGGGGGCCCAGCCCTCTGGGTGCTCGGGACACCCACGCCCACAACCAGCAAACAGTGTCAGCGGGCCAGAGTGAACAGCCTGCTCTTTTCCCTGCTCCCGCGGTTTCTTGCTCTGTGGAGGTGGCCACCCCGGCACCGCTGTCCCAGGCCTGGAGGACACCACCGTTGGACCATCAGAGCTTCACAGAGTGTCTTCTAGGAGGTTTCTTTCCGGCAATGCGCAGTAAATATCATCACTGCCATTTATCTCCATGGGCCTTTCAAGTACATCTAGAGTAAGAAATTCTGTTTCAAGGTACCATTTTGTAATATTGAGGGCACTTTAAAAAGAGTGCCTTATAACATCCTCATTCTACCCAGAAGGAAAAAAAATCATCTTAGACCACAGACTACTGATGCCCCTGGCAATCAGCATAAGGAGGAACATAATCACGGGGCCTCTAAGAAGTCATCTGAGTGGAGGACAGAGCGGCCTACCCTTATGAGCACATCTGGCACCGTGCCCTGCAGTGCAGTCAGCTGGGGTGCCAGGCTGTAGAAAGTGCCAGATGACTTACGTCCAGGCATCAGCCAGGTCTCCTATGTCTCTTTCTCTGCCCCAAGTTCCCTGCCCAACAGCACGCACAGTGAGGGCTCAGGCATTTCCCTGGGTCTGTAACCCACCATGGGTGCCTCAGCCTCTCTGACCCAGTGGGATGAGAGGAACCAGAGAGGCAGTCCTGCCTTTATCAGGGGAGGGAGCAACGTCGCCTTTGGCCTTGAATTGATGGCTGGAATGGGTTGTATGAGGGGCAGTGATGGGTTTCAGCCCACAGAGGCCACCAGATACGGCTTGTCATTCTGGTCTTATGCACACTTAGCTGTAAGTAGTCAACAGGAGGCTCCGAAAGCAGATAAATGGTCCGCTGGGATGACCTGGAGTTCCAGATTCTCCACTCGGTATGCAGCCCAGTCTGTCAACCTGCATTTCAGTCTGATTAGTCTGTTATTAGGTAGCTTATAGACTCATAGGGAATAATTCCTACAGCAAATCTTGAAAAAGATCCAGTAGCAGGAAAATGACAGAGACATAATTCATTTATATAGTCATGAAATGCTTCAAGTCAAAGATCATTCCGTGGACAATGGACTTAAAACAAAAATGGGATTATAATTTTTCTGAATTTTGGATAATCTTCAAATTTCTCAAGATACCACCTAAAATAAGACAAAAAAGGAACAGTAAGAAAAAGAAATAATTTTGCTGCTTAAACATTTAGATGCTGACAAAATGGACAACACTTCATTATGCAGAAATACGGAGGTTTTTAGGAGTAACACTAAAAACTGTGGCATTTCAGATATGTAGTTTGATTTTGTCTCTATAATGAATAACTAAATATATTTTATTCTAAAGCATGATTCATAGGAAGAAACCCATTTAATTCACTCAGGAGGAGTGTCTCGAAGGTCTTCTTCTGGATGTTTTCTGGTTTTCCGCAGTCCCCAGGAGAGCTACGGCTCCAGCCCCCAGTCTGTGGAACAGTCACCTGGGTGCGTGCCAGGGGCTCTCAGACAAATCTGGGAAGACGCAGCCGGGCCTGGCATTCAGAACAAACACGCATTTTCCACTTTGATATAAATGACAAGTCCCCTCCATTCGTTTTGGGGTAGAGGCTAGCTGGGGAGGGAGGCAGCTACGTGGATGGAATGAACACTTACAATGACCTGACAAGATGGAGAAATTGCCCGAAACAAGGAGTTTCCATCAGCACAAAAGATAAACAGACGAAGCATCATGATGGGAAGCGACTATGAGCTCACATGGCAGAAACGCATCATGAAGGCAACCTGACAGGGAACTGACAAAATTTGTTGGTTTCTGCCATGTTTCACCCTGCGCTGGCGGACCCGACGGCGAACAGCAGCCCCTCAGATGGCTGTGGGTGCCTCCGCGCACTGCCCTGTCCTGAGCCTCCAGAGAACGCACATGCTGTCCTGGTCCCCTGGGGGGCCACACGCTGTCCTGTGCCCCCGGGGAGGCCACGCGCTGTCCTGAGCCCCTGGGGAGGGCATATGCTGTCCTGTGCCCTTGGGGGGGCCACGCGCTCTGAAGCTGGGCTGCGGGCCTCGGGTGCAAACATTACTTCCGATGCGGGGCTGTTCTCTTCCAGACTGTGAGGAGCCCGGACAGCGGAGCGCCCCCGTTGAGGTGGCTGCTGTGCCAGCAGCGTGGAGCAGATTGGCCAGTGCCACACTCAGCTCCTCTCTGCTCACAGAAAGTTCTTGAAGGCTGGCCCTAGTGTTCCCCCTGAGTAACCGCCCCAGATTCCTAGGCTAAGAACTTGATGCCTGAGGGGGTGGCGCTAGGAGGCAGAGCCTCTGGGAGGGGATTGGGTCATGGGGCGAAGCCTTCAGGAATGGGATCTGTGTCCTGATCCTCCAGAGCTCCATGGCCCTTCATCTCTGAGGGCAGTGCAGGAGGGGACTGGACTGTACAGCCAGCGGGGGCTGTCACTGGAGCTCCACCACACTGGCCCCTGACCTCAGACTTCTGCCCGCCACCCCCATCTACATGTTTCTGCTGCAGCCACCGGAAGGCACTCAGCCTGCTGGCACTGAGGACCTGGACCACAAGCAGGTTTCTCAGAGGCCGGGCACCAGCCCAGAAGCCAACGATACCTTCAGACCAGCAAGACCAGGCCGGTGATGCCCACACACCCCTCTGCGATGGTCAGAAGCAGCACAGGGCAGCACGGCTGGCCCCTCATGATGTCAGAGCGAGCCTGTATCAGATCGAAATGTTCTCACCCAATACAGAGGTTGGCCAAATACATTCGATTCATTTCACAGACACCATTCTATAGGAATAAAACTTTGCTAAAATGATGAAACTACTTTTCTCATCCATGTACATCATGACGTTTGTCGATCCAGCTCGAGAAATCATATCTCAAAATTTATAAATATGTGTATGTATATTATATACACACACACACACACACATTTTTAATAGGGCAGGCAGATTTTTCTCACGTGTTCTATCCCTAGAATCAAAGCTGTCACTTATGTGACACTGACCAGAGCTGGATACGGATTTTTTTGTCTTGATTTTATCACTGTGGAGCCCGAACTGAGGTCGAAACTAAGGCAACCCGTCACTGAAGGCTGCCCATGTCATCGCATGCGGTTTAGGCTGAATCGGACAGAGTTCTTCGAATTCTTCTTCAAAGCACCAGTGGTCTTTCCGGCCCACGAGCAGGTTCAGTGCCCTGTGCTCCTCTCCTGCGTGTCTCGTTCCTTCCAAGCGCTCACAGACCCCGCGCTCTGCTGTGAGAACAAGGATGTCCTTCACAGACTCGTTCTGGTGGGTCTTTATCTGTCTAGGTCATGACGCCATCTGTCATTGTGTCCCAAAGACACACGGACATCAGTTTTCTAAGTGACATTACACACAATTTTTTATTTCGACAGAGCCCCTCCTCCAAGGCTGTCCCCGAAGGCTGGCCTCACCTGCAGGACCCTGGTGTGAACAAGCACGCACCTGGGCTCAGACGACCCCTTGGCCAGGTGCCGCAGGAGCGCACCCAAGCCAGGGCAGCTCCCTTATGTGAGCGCGCGGCTTGAGGCTGGCAGTGGAGAGAACAGTCCGAAAACATTCCTCTTTCCTATTCCTTGACATTTTGGCCTCAAACCACTGTATCTGTTAGCAACTTGGCACAGCTGACCCAATGTTTCCGACCTAGCGCTTCATGGTCAGTATAATTCTCAACGAATTTAAACATTTCACATTCGGTTATGGAAATAAACTGAGTGTAATAAAACATTGGTTTGAGAACATCATAATACACCAAAAAGAGGGCTAGGAATAGCCCCATGGATTGTTTTCTGTAATCAGCTGGGTTTGTGGGATTAGTTAAAAAAAAAAAAAAAAAAAGATAGCTTTTCCTTTGTCCTCAGCTGGTAAATCAACATTTCCGAACATACTTCCACTAAGCTGAATTCATTAAATTTCCAGCAATTAAAATTGGTTTTGCAGTGACATCAGTATAAATAGCAAATGAATGAAAAAGAATCCTTTCAACTCGTGAAGCTTTCTGCAAAGAATACCTTTGGGTTTTTATTAACAGAGACGTTTATTCAAATTCAAATTTCAAAATGAAATTATTTATTTCTATTTCCTGTTCCAATGATAGAATTTGAATATTTCCCATTAGAAATTTGAATATCTCCTACTCAAATGTCAAGAGAGACTTTCCCATGCTCATTTGAGGAAGCGTCTTTACCACCGACTCGGCTCTTGTTCAATCTTCCTGTGATCCAACTTCTCAGCTACCAGTACCGTCTCGTTTCTCCATTACTAGAAACCAGCCAACAGCTGCTTCCTACTCCCTCACGGAACTAACGCACAAGAGTAGCTTGTTCCTCAGAGGCGATGTGATCGATGGGAAGGCGGTCTTGGTGGGGAGGCCCTGCCTGGGAAGGAGGAGGGAAGAGTGGATGGAAGGGAGGAATGGGGGCAGGAGGGGTCCCCAGGAACACAGGACAGCTGGGCTGGACCAAGATGCACTGGTATTGCTGTCACTGTTATTTTTTTCTCCAAAAGGCTTGGTCCCCACCCGGGCAGACGCATCCTGCAGCAGCATGAGCTCTGGGGACAGGCCGGCATGGTGTCATCCGGCAGGAGGAAGCGCAGGGCTCCAGAACTCACACATGTTGCCTTTGTCTTTCCTTACAGCCCAGCGGATTCTGGGTGGCTCAAAGGCCAGTGTCTTGGCTTCCTGGGGCTTCTGCAACAAAGGCCCACACGCTAGGGGCTTCCAAAGAGGCAGGAATTTATTCTCTCCCAGTTCCGGGGGTCAGAGGCCTGACCGTGCTGCCTCCTAAGCTCTCAGCGAGGCTCCTTCTCTGCCTCTCTCAGCTGCTGGCAGCCTCGGGGGTATGTGGCAGCGTCACCACATGGTCTGCCTCCGCACTTAACACGGCCATCTCTGTGTGTGTGTCTGCACGTGGTCTTCTTGTCCTTGTGTGCACATGTGCAGTTTCCCTCCTAAGAAAGTCACCAGTCCTGCTGGGTCAGAGGCTTGCTTACTCTAGCGTGACCTCCCTAACTAATTACATCTGCGATGGCGATAACCCCTATTGCCAAATAAGGTCACATTTGCAGGGTCAAGACTGCAACATCTTTTTTGGGGGGTGGGGGGAGAACGCAATTCAACCCATCATAGCAAATCGTCTCGTTTCCTGTCACCTTTGACGCTGTAACCTGTTTCCTGAGCCTTTCTTGGTGTGAGCTTTCCTTACCTCTGTCCCCCTCCGCAGCTCCGGCATAGGGACAGGTCCCAGCTCTCAGATCCCCCACTGTCTGGAGCAGAGTGGGGCACCTTAAAGCATGGAGCGCTGGAGGGTTCTTCTCCTGTGATCTCAATAATCTCGGGCTTTTGGCATATGGTCTACAAAACCTAGCTAACGAGACCTTCCAGCTCTGCCCGTTCTCCACAGTGTCTCTGGTAATAATCTTCTGCATCTTAAAATACATGGTGAGCCCAGAAAGAAACCTAGGAATTCTGACTCTGAAAAGTCTGTGTGCGTCCCACGATGCCATGACATCAGTCTGTCCTTCTGGGGGCTTCTCTCTGCCCCATTTCAAGAGATGACAGGCGCCGTGGAGTCAGATGATGCTCTGTGTCTATGTGTGCCTCCGAGAGTATGGGCGGCATTGGAGAGCTTCACGAAATGTGTTTGGGGCAATGCAGCCAGGGAAGGGGGGCAGCAGCGCCCTTTCTAGCTCAGGGGACACAAATGATCCCCATGGGCACTGGCGTGAGCCGCCCGCCCGGTTTCCATCATTGCTGTGGCCTCGGGGGACGGCCCGAGACCTCTCCCATCTGAAAAGCTAGGACTTTGTTCCCTGAGCCTCAGTCCCTTCATGCGTCGGACTGGGAGGGCGCTACCCTAGGTTCGCTTCAGCTTTGACAGCCTTGGATTGGTTTTTATGAGTTTGTACTGGTCTTCGAGATCACAGGCTGTTTGGAGGATCTGACACAGGCCGAGGCCCCTCGCCTTGGGAAACAATGTGATTTCGACAGTGCGCACAGCCTGGGAGTCCAGACAGTACCGCAGGTCTGCAGGGGTGCGGGGCGCTCATTTGCAGGGGCTGCGTGAGGGTCCAGCTGGGCTTCTTCCGCACTTGGCGTGCGCCTCCGGGCCCAGCTGTGGGCACTCGGCATCCTGCCGACGGCGTGCTCCTGGCCAGACCACGAGTCCCCTGCCCGAAGCTTCACGGGACCGTGGGCTCCAGCTGCGAACGTCTGAAGGGCTCAGACTCGGGTGCAGCAAATGACGACGCTGACGTGCACCCGGCGGTTCTCAGAGCAGGTTCCTCTCTGGACGTCTGCGCGGTTGTGGACTCGGTTAGCTAATGCCCGGTGTACCCTGCGATCCGGCAGTTCCAACAAATGTGAACATTTCGAGAATGGAACCTGAGAATGGTTATAGTAAGGCCAGAGCACAGAGCCAACATGTGGAGGGTGTTCGTGAACTTACTGGTGATGCTGCTGGGCCCGGGTGAAGAGGAAGCAGGCGGTGAAGAGCGCGAAGGCCCCGCCCTGGACGGACCAGCTGGCCAGGCCATAGCCGCTCCACTCCACCACCTCCCCGAAGTAGTTGGCTGCCGTCACGTACTCAAACAAGCCTCCTGCAAGGAAACACAGGCAAGGGGTGCATTTCCTACAGACGACACCTGGGAAACACTGACCGACGAGACAGCCGTGGGCGCTTACTTGGAGAGCACCAGCTCAGCCCTGGGAAACATGACTGGTCCAGAATTGTAATCAATGAAACATACCCAACGGTACTAGTTCTACCATTTCGTCTTACGATTTCTGGGAGTAACTACGTACCGTTCATCTGAATATAAAATGCTACAATTTTCGTGTACTTTACTATGTCACTTGACTAATCAGTGAATCCCACAGATGGAACCTAAGTAGGGACAGAGACCACAGAGTAACAGTGAAGGACTAGCTTAATCAGACGGACCTGCACAGAGGCCTAGACCCAAACTGGAAGAAAATAGTAATTTTCAAGGGCAGATTCATTCATTCAGTCATCCATTTTCACAGATCCTTCAAGTCCACATGACAGGAGGCCCTGCTCTAGGCACTGGGAGTGCACCGTGGACAACACCATGTCCCCTTCTGGAACACTAAACCCCGATGCAGCCCTTGAGGAAAGCACGGATCCCAGCACGTGGTGGGGAGTGCTGTGGAGCAGAGCATGGGGGAGGGCCCAGAAGTCGGGCTGTGGGCGGAGGGAGGGCTGGTGGTGGCCGTGGCTGGAAGGGGCCTCACTGGTAGGTGAGGTTTGGGTTGGTGTTGGGGTCTCCAGGCAGCAAAGGCTCTGAGGCTGGAGGGCAGAGGGGCGCGCTCTAAGGACCACCTTAGAGCCACAGTTTAAACAACCTGAGATTTGTAGGCTTTTTCCCATCCTTTGCTTGTCATGTTGTGTTTTCCCCTTGTAGGGTTCCCAGGACGATAAGGATCCATCTAAGCCCGGCCAAGTGATTTCCCGTTCCACTGATGTTTTAGTTCTACCCACTGAGTCTTAAATTTTTTTTTTTTTTTTAGTTTGAGGATCTCCCTTGCTTTCTATCTTGCATCTATTTAGTTCTTTCTATGGTATGTTACTCTTTTTTTCATAATTTCATCCCTTTTAATTATTTAAACAACTAGATATTCACTTCATGATCTGTTTCTATTAACTCTAAGATCTAAAATTTCCCAAGTTTAATTAGCTCTCACTCAAGGCACCATATGTCCTCGTGGGTTTTGTGGCTCTTATTTTGTGGCGTGTGGCCTGCTAGGCTCTCAGAGCCTAGAGTTGAAGACAGGTTTCTTTGGGGATCTGGGTCTGTGCGGACTGGATGCAGGAGGGCACTCCCTCCCTAGGACCACACGGATCCTAACTCGTGACTTGAGGTTTTCGGACTGTCCACGGTTGGCAAACATTTGGGCTACAAAGCTGAGGCAATGAGGGCAGCTAGCGGTTACGGACTCTTACGAGTTGGGTCCTGGACTCAAGCATTCACCCAGCCCTTGCTCTCTGATGACTGACTTCATTTCTGGACATCACACAGATGCATTTTAAAAGATAAAAACAACAACATGTATCCAACATTTTTAACTGTTTTCAGACAGAGGACCAGTCGTCTATTCCTGCTATGGCCAGAAATGAGGTATTGGGCACCCCTGGTAAACCATAAGTTGTTCCTCGTATTCTCTTTCCAAACAGATACAACTAGTTTCCTTTTTGCTTAATAGCCACTCAGTTAGCCAGAATCAGCTCTTCTGTCATTCTAAGAAAACAATAACCACAGTGATTGCTATCGTAATTGTGACTCACATCGAAAATTTGTGGCTGTGACTAGATATTAGTTATTGGATCGGATAAAACTGAAAGAGCAAGGCGTCCTGCCGATAGTGTGGCATCAAGTCTCCTGTTTTCAGTACATACCCCTCGGTATCTTATACCCAGTCTCCCCTGGTCTCCGGAGATTCCTCAGGATGTGGTCTGAATGGATGTTTACCAGCATGCCCATTAACCACAGGCAGAATCCTACAGAAAAGGCGATACAGAGCAGCATTAAGTCCATAAACCAGGAAACCCCCAGGCCCAAGCCGGAATGAATGGGATGACCCCAATCCGCCCTATTATAGTTACTAAGGAGCCAGGTCACCACAACTGATAATGAAGATCATTGTAATAAATATAATGCTTCCCTTAGAGACGTAAGTGCTGCACTCAGGTCTGCGAAAGAGGGCTTTGTTTTTCTAATAATACCAGTAAATCAACTAGTCTGCTCCAAATGTTCTGATGGGATGACTGGTGTGCTCGGAAGTAGGACTTAAGACTTCGCCCAGGCTCCTTTCCAGGAAGCACTAAACCAAGAGCCAAAGAGCCACGGGACTCTCTGAAACTCAGAAGAAACTTCCTCATCACCAGGAGACTTGAGGGGGTGTATTTTCTTTTTTTTACACTCTTGCATATATTTTTGACTACTGATGTTTTATTTTCATTTTTCCTCAGAACTTATAAGGCTTTAGTTAGAACTCAAAAATAATAAAGATTTTAAAAAAATCAAAAACTTCACAAGACCTAATAGCTTCTGCAAGTTAGCATAATCAGGAAACTCTAATGGCCTTGTTGGAAGGTGACCCAGTTGGACTTTTTCTCATTTTCCATTAGGAACAGTGGGAGCTTAATGACGGTCTTAGATTACACGGTTAGTAACAGAGCTCCTCAGTCTCCCTCTGTCGTCCGCTCTGCCGGAACCTGCTGCTACTCTGAGGTCTGCTTCAGGAACAGGTATTCATGCTTTCTGGGCCAAGTCAGGGGTGATGGCAGGCATGTGCGTCATATGCTGCTGCTGGGGCCGCGTGCCTCTCCCTCTGGTGCTCGGCCTGCTGCCACGAGGTCATGGACCAGCACCGCCTCCTCTCTCTCTCTCGAGGAGCATGGGCTTTCTAACCAGGAACTGTGGGGACCTGAAAACCCAGGTTCTGATGAGAACAACGGAGTGCATCCTTAGGGGGACACTCACCTACTAGAAATCGGGGATCTGTGACCCAATCGTCAGCATACATGGCGTACTGGCTCAGGTATCTGCTTTGCAAGTAGCCATTGTAGCCACAGAACATGAAGGCCGACGCAAACGTGTACAAGGGCATGGGCTTTCCGCTTCGGATCAGGAATGGGAAAATCAAGGACCTGAGGAAACATGAAACGGAAACACATTTAAATAAAACATAGATCAATGCTAAGGAATCTCATTTTTGCCATTCTGTTTCAAGTCTTGGGGTTTTAATCTTGTTTCCTTGTTCAGAAATCATTCTCAGTAATGCTCGTACTGATATACTCTGTTCAAAGCAGAATTTCTAGATAAAGAATTAACCATGTTTCAGTAATGTTCACCACAGTGCATAAACTCAGGATTCTAATTATATCAAATGTGAGACACACATGGAGAGAAAACTAAAGGCTTCAAGAGGCTCTCAATATTATCCTCCCTCGCTCTCGTCTGAGCAACATGACGTGGGGGACACCGTATAACATCCATCAACAAGGCAGCTGTGCTGGCTGAGCACTCAACACCCCACTTGTGGTACCTGGAGACACCCGCACAGGACGCCCCACGACACGTGCAGGACAGAGCACGAGATGGACTCGTGTGGGGAAGCCATCTGCTCAGCTCATGGCTGAGCTTTGGTGTAAAACCGGGTATCTCAAGGCTCACATTCTGTTCCACCACACGAGTGAAAGTTTAGGGAGAGAAAACAGAAGGACAAGAAAGTGGATCTTATGAAGAAAAGAGGACGTGACGTCGTACTCTGAATTTCCTCTGTAAAATCAGTACATGACACGCTGAGAGAGGGCTATCGCTACGTAGCCTATGGACCTTAAGGGGATAGTAAGGAATCACCATCTACAACTTCATGCCAATAAAGGTGACCCTGTGGACAACACGAACAAAAGCCTTAAGACACAGGTGACCAAAACTGACCCACAAGGAAATCGACAACTTGAACAGCCCTCTATGAATGAAAGTGACTGAAGCGACTTTTAACGTTCTAGAGAAGCTGCAGCTGGAGTTGGGGGAGGGGACTAGCTGCACAGAGGCATAGGGACATTTTAGGGGATGCAACCGTTCTGTATCTTGATTGTGGTGATGATTATATGCTGTAGGCAATCATCAACACTGACCAAACCACATTCTTAACAATGAGTGCATTTCATCCTCGTAAGTTATATCTTAAAACAGGGAAAATATAAAAGCTTGTTATTTGTTTCCATTCTGGCCATCTACCCAAGGGCAAAAACAGAACTGATCTTAGCAGCAGTAGTGAGAGCCTAACGCTGGCTACGTGTCCTCAAGGCATTCTCTTTCAACAGGCTCACTCAGGTCGTGGGAATAACATTCTTGCAATCAAAGGCAGTCTTCAAGGTTCTCTCTTATCCAGGCCAGCTCCCCCGAAGCAGACTTCATGTGGGTTTAGGGCAAAGCACCAGCTGAATGTAAGCCTGCGTCTGGCCCCAATGTGTGTCATCAGTGAGGTTAGTTGCTTGCCTGGAAACCAGTGTTGAGACGCACCTCAAAGAGAACAGAGAATTGCAGCCTTTTCTGCTTCGCGGAAGCACGGCTCATGCCTGAGCAGAGCTGGGACAGTGAGCAGGCATCTGGGATACAGGCCCACTGTGCACGTCCGTACCACAAGAGGCAGATCTGGGTGACTGGGTAACTGTGTCTTGGACCAGTGGGGGAGCCTTTAGAAACAAGCAGAAATTTTGACTCGCTGCGATCCAGCATCATGGTGATGGTGTTTGTTCCCCACCCCCATCCTGCTCCTTGGCAGGAGAGCCAGAAGCAAACAATCAGTTCTCACTCTCTCCCTGAGCGTCAAGGAAGCTGCCCCTTGTCTGCCGTCGCCTCAAAGGATGATTCTTTAGGCAGGGGAAAGCAGAAAAGGGCCAGAGGATGAGGAATTGAGAGAAAGCCTCCCTGGGAGTTACGGTCTCAGGGAATTTTCCAGGGGGCAAACCACAGGACAAAGCTGACAAAGTGTTAGAATTCTAAGTTTGAAGAACTAGGGGAAAAAAGAGCAGAAAGAACCACGGGAGGCGTGAAGGCTGGACTCAGTTAGAAAGAAGGCTGCGAACGTGTGGAGTGCTCAGCTCCCCAGAGCCCGAAACTGGGGACCTGAACAAACCCACGTAAATTCAACACAGGATAATAGGGACCCAGGGTCAGGAAGGGGAAAGGACAAAGTGTGAAAGCTTGAAATACACAGAATCGTTACTGAAGGACAGTGGTATGGGAAGATGTCTGGGCGAGATGTCACAAATGTCTACATCATAGATGAAAGACGTCTTCTAGAAGCAACACTGAGCAAACCAGTCTGCAAACACGGTAGACATTTCCCTCCAGAATGTACAAAAAAAAAAAAAAAGTTGTAGACTTTCCAAATGAGAATCATGCCCAGCAAACTTTTGATTCGTTTCTCCCAATTCAGTTTCAAGTTCAGGGCTGAATTGTGAACGACTGGCAAACAGGGGCTGGCACCTTCTCGAGGTGAAACCCAAACCTGTCCCATGTGGTAGTCACGCTCCCTCCTCATCTGTCACCAGTACCCGTGACACCAGTGCACGTGCCCGTGATGGCAGAGGCATCTTGATCGGGAGTCCGCAAACATGGCCCCTGGCCCAATTCCAGTTCACCACTGGAATTGTACATTGTACCACATCGTACAGCCTGAGAATAAGAACAGTTTTTACCTTTTCAAACAGTAGGGGACACGATCAAAAGGATATTGCAGGACGCATGGGAATCACACGAAGTGCAAATGTCCGCGTCCACAAATAGAGTAGCGCTGTGACATGGCCCCGGTCACTCATTTGGGTCCGTTCTGTGGCTGCTCGGGAGCTGGGGCTGAGCTGCGCAGGAGTGACACGGCGCGTGGTGTGGTGGTCTAATGTGTCCACGTCCCTGTGCGGTGTGCACACATCCGTGGCAAGCAGCGTTCTGAGTGCACGTCACTCTGTTCTCTCCTCAGTGCACATGTGTCCCGTGAAGACGGGGAACGCAGGCTCCGTGTGCTCTGCAGACCCAGTGGGGTGTGGCTCACTCTCCATCCTGGCAGGTGGCTCAGCACTCTGGGATGCAAGGTCACCGCGGCTGTGTCGCAAGACTGGGCTAGAGGTCGATGTTACCAGACAAGCAGTTCTTGTGATGTTGTCCCCCACTTGCAGGAAAGCAACGGTCAGGGCAAAGCAAGAATTTCAACAGAATCCAGTTCTAGAATTTTACAAAAGAAAGGAAAAGAAGGCTACAACCACTGGAAGTTCCTGGGGGCCGCCTCCTGTTACACCCAGCAAGGAGGGCCATCTGCCAACGGTGAGCTCACTCCCTGTAGCAAACATCCAGAGGATAGAAGCTCGTGGAACACGATGAGCCCCTCGGGGAGGACGGCTGCTCGTGGAGTCAGGATGCCAAAAGCGAAGTCCGCGGACAGTTGAAAAGCAAGGCCAGCGTCTGAGTGAGAAGTCTTCTGGGCTCCTGGGTCACCGAGGTCCCTGACATGGAACTAAGCTGGGACCGAGTTTGAAGTGGCAGAGAAATCAGGCTCCAACGGGTCCTCACACAACAAGCAGCGGCGACAGCGTGTGCACAGAAGCTGAGGAGACACTAACGCAGTACAACCCGAGGGGAGACCCGCTAAGATCGTGTAAATGCTGGTGGTAAACACACACACATGACAGATTTACACAGCCTGTGAGATAGAAGGTGTTTAAAGCTCTTCTCCATATGGCAGGTACTTTGCCAAAAAACAAAATGAAACAAAACAAAACAAACCAAACCACAACACCACCAAATTGATTATTGCCTGTGACTGAACCGTGTCAACAGTGAACTTGACCTTCTGTCCATGGACTTAACCACTGCTCTGAGTTCAAAGCCAAGACTGAAATTTTTCTTTATAAGAAAAAGTACCTCAACCACTATTACTGAGGTTTAAAGGGCTCTGGAAATTAGCTTTTGCTGCAGACTTGATAATGTTTCTCAGTGAATTCAACCTAAAATTATAGGCAAAAATATCCCCTATGTGCAAAACATACACGGCGTTAGCCTCCTCAGCAACAAGTGACATTGTCAGAACCACAAGTCACATCAAACTCCTTCCCTGGCTTTCCGTGCGGTTAGAATCAAGAGCAGCAGCGAGATCTGCCTTCTCACGTAAACTTGCACTGGTACGATTTCTAAGCTCCAGAAGGAGTTCCTCCAGTGGTGTCTGAACTGTTCAAGACCTATTTAACTGTAACTGAGGAGCCTCCACCTGTCAACCAGAAGACACTCATCTACACTGCAGGAACATACTAAAGGACAAATACCAACAGAAGAATCCAACAGAATTCCATAAATGTCTTCCAAGTAATGAACATGTTAAACTACAATCAGAAACTTGTGGACTGAAACCAAAATCTGGCAGTACCAATGCATATGAAAAGATACTTTCAAAGAGAAAATCTTGATGTGCCTGGGGGTTCAGTCGGTGAACGTCTGCCTTCAGCTGAGGTCATGATCCAAGAGTGCTGGGATCGAGTCCCACCTCGGGCTTCCTGCTCAGCGGGGAGTCTGCTTCTTTTCCCCCACTCTGCCCCGCTACCCCCTTGCTTATGCTCCCTCTCTCTCAAATAAATAAAATCTTTAAAATTAAAAAAAAAGAGAGAAAAATCTCATTGCCCATCAATCAGCATCAAGGGGTGAACACTTGCCATGGATCTTGGTCATGGGGAACGCTGACTCTGAAGCCCAATGAAGTGAATGCTCTCCCCACCAAATAAAGAATTCTACTCTTCTTGTTACATCTGTTACAGAAATTACGGTATTAGAATTAGAATTTTCTCAATAGAAATCTTTGTGAAATATCTCTTTCACTACATCGCTAATTTCGTCCCTTGTACCACAGAGCTTAAAAGAAGCACTATATGGCCCTTTCCAAAAAGTTTTGACCCTTGACCTAGGTTAAAATAGGAGTTACACTCTGGAAACCTCTTTGTGACTTTCTTAGCAAATGCCCTTGCTCAAGGCCCCAGTACTTAGGTTGCAGGAGGTCTCTCGGGACAGGGGTGCACCTGGTCTGCCGGATGGGGTCTGTGCATCTGGGTCCTCAGCTAGGCATGGAACAGAGAATCACAGTGATCTGCTCCAGGGTATGCCCTGTGAGAGCCTGGAAAAGACATGCCTAGAGGAGCCGGGAAAAGATGCACTTCTCTCTGGTCTCACATGAACGTCAGAAGTGAGGCAAGGACTGGAAACAGGGCTTTAGAAAGGTGGATGCAGACCTCTTCTGTTCCTTTCTTATCTCGACCCCTGAAAGGACAGCCATGCCCCTGACGTCCACAGGCCTAGACATAAAGTCACTGAGGGCAGGAGGGGATCAAGCTGGCTCAGGCAATGTCACTTATGACTTTAGACCCTGACGACGGCTCCTGGGGGAGTCCTTATTCCCCAGCTGCTCCTTCCCCACAAGCTGAGGGCACCGATATGAACCAAGCCCTCCTGGCTCTGGGGTCTTCAGCAAGCCAGATGGCCAGATGCAATGCACCTTCCAGGGGGGAGCACTCTGCTCCCTCTTGCTATTTTGGGGATTGCCTTTCTTCTTTTAAGTTATTCCCTTCAGCTTTACTTCTTTTCCTTGGAAGTCCATGCCACAGTTGGGGAAAGGGCTTCCTTTGAATTGGGCCAATTAGGAACCAAAATGGGGCAGATGCGGCTTCTGGGCGTGACTTTCATCTGAGCCTTCATCTAGACACTAGAGGGACAAGGGGACCCAAGGGTTACAGTGGACCCAGGCTGCTTATGGTGAAAGATCTACTTCAAGACACGAGGCCAGGCTCTGTGAGGAAGGTAGACTCGGCCGCTGGACCCACACAGCACTAGTCCCGACCTGGGGGACCCAGGCCGTCTCAGTTCAAAAGCCTTTCTCACGTGGTGTCTCATCTGCGCTAACAAACACCCTTCCACATGGAACTGTGGGAAATGGGTATTATCCCTCTTTGAGAAAACGTATGAAGCTGGAAGTTGAATATCCCTTAATGTGGAAATCATCTGTAAGGTAAACCATGACGAGCTTGCATTTAAAAATACCTTATTGGGGTGCCCAGGTGGCTCAGTGGGTTAAGCCTCTGCCTTTAGCTCGGGTCATGATCTCAGGGTCCTGGGATCGAGCCCCGAGTCAGGCTCTCTGCTCAGCAGGGAGTCTGCTTCCCTTCCTCTCTCTGCCTGCCTCTCTGCCTGCTTGTGATCTCTGTCTGTCAAATAAATAAATAAAATCTTAAAAAAAATACATTATTTAGGTAATGAGTTATATAAATCTATGCTCGGTTCCGATAATGAGCTAAAGGACATCCAACTGTCAGGACCCAGGCAGCTACAAAGGGATTCTGTTTTCTACCTCCTCAGATGGAGTGTGGGACTGAATTTGACACTTTGTTTTCTACCATGTTACAATATCCCATTTCCCCCACTTCTCTTCCCCTTAAAGAAACAGAACTTACTTTTCATCAAGTCGTTACTACTCGCGAAACTTGCCCATCTCTGTGGCTGTGAAGCACCCAGGACTGCGGGACACACTGATGAGGGGCTGAACTGAAGCTTTCAGAACCTGAATCTCTGGGACCTTCGATGGCCGGGCAGCCTGCTGTCTGCCTCCTGCACGCATCAGTGTACAAGCCTGGGGACGGTGTGAGTGTTTCTTACAGTTCCTGATGTAATGTGTCCAGTAATTCCTAATCCTATATAACATGCCTTTTTTTTTTTTTTTAAACATTTCACAACTGTTACTATTAACCTATGTAACAGATGGGGACCGGAGGCTCAGAGGAGCCTGATGACAGAGGCTCAGAAGTGGCAGCTCCAGGGCCATGTCCTCATCCCACAGGTTCTCCCAACAAACTGGAACAACATCCAGTAATTTTACAATGAGAAACTGCATATTCATTCAACAAATGATTTGGCACTCAAAATAAAACCAATTGGAAATAGTGTCCCAGGTACAATGAAACATCCAATCTGGTGAATTGGCAGCAAATCTAACAGTAGAGTTAATCATTTTTAAACATTTAAAACTGAAAGTGGTTGTTATAATTTTAATAACTATATTACTTTTTCTCAACAATTTGACATCTTTGGAATCTATAGCACTTCCAAGATGTCGATTAGTTCCTGTTACTTTTTTTCCCTTCTGAAATGTTCTTTTGCAACAAAGGCACAGATTATTATAAAGCCACACACTTACATAAGCTCTGTGTGCTTTTAAGGCAAGGTTACCAATGCAATGAATATTTTACTACATGTCACTCTATACTTTTGAATGAAAGTTTTTTTTTTTTCCAAATTATTTGAATCCACAAGGCAAGGGTCAAGGGTTTAGAGTGGCCTTCACCTTCTCCAGTTCCCTGATGTGTTTTAATATTACACATGCCCTATGGCACATTTAAAAGTGGGGCTAGGGCCAGGCTCTCCCCATGGGACCACAAGTAAAAGAGAGCAGGAGAAACGAGGAATCCAGGCAGGTATGATTCTTTGAGGATCACCATCAGGGGTAACAACAGAATCAAGGTCCTGCAAGCTCAGGGAGCTGGCTGAGCCCTGCCCTTGGGGAGGGTGTTAGGAAGAGGAGGCCCTGTGGGCATGTCAAAGTCTGCATTCAGCACTCTCCCTCTGCTTCATGG